ACAATGTATTTCTATTATATTTTTTGTTAGGGCAAGTAAAGGTGTAGTAAAACCAATGGCTGTTACATATTCTGTTTAAAGTTGAAAACACAAATCGCACCCACTTTTCTGTTGCCGTTCAAAAAATGCACGTGCGGAAACAACATAGTTCTCATCATATTTATAGAATTGCTGAGTGTAATGTAACCACCAGTAATATATTTGTTTTGAGGTAATGTATGATAGATCAAATTTTTTGCGAAGATATGATCGTAAATATGTTGGAGTCATCTCCAAATTTTCTTTTATTTCTTGCTTAACCTCTGATGGCACCGCAATGTCAATAGGTTTATTATGCGTAAGATTGTGTTGTAATCTTACTTTTGCTTCTGCTGCTAATAAGTCTATTTTTATAGTTAACTTTCCTTTGCAATCAAACCAATCAATTCTTTTACGATTTGAATCCACATATTCACGTTTAATCTCATTACTTTGTGAACATACGAAGTAAGCATTGCCAACGCCCTGATAACAACTGAAAGATTTGGAGCAGTTGTAGCACTACAATTGAATACATTAAGTATAAATTTTATTTATTCATTTATTATTACTTAACAAGTTATACTTACATCTAGTTATAGCCATCTCCTTCTTCGATTTCGTCAACAATCAATTTGGCCATTAGCTTAATGTTTATATCAGCAATACTAAGTATATTTTCATCAAGTATAATGCGAAAATTAATAGGGTTTTCATTTTGCTCTATGCTATTAGTTATATAATCACTAATTTCTTTAAAAGAAATTTTTTCCATAGGAATATCTTCAACATTAGCATTTTCGGCTCTCTTTTTGGCTCTCTTTTCTGCTTTAGTAATCAAACATTTAGCACATGTTTTGTTGCTTTTACCGTCAAGCACAAAGGCATCAGAGGATAGCGTACGTGAACAAGAGGTGCAAAACATTGTATTTATTAGGTATCAGTTTAGTTTTTACTGGTGTTATAGTGTTACTAAATAATTTTATTAAGCGATAGAAAACTTTACTATTATTGTAAGATAGAGATGAAGATGTTTGAGGGTAAATATTTGATTTTTTTATGTCTTGAATTTGTTAAAGCACTTATTTATTTATTTTCTCTTTGCATCAATTAAACTTTTAATTAATTACAACATTTATTATGCTTACGGATACTATATTTTACTTTACTATTTTGTACGTCACTAAGTCCGTCATCACAATTAGATCATAGAAAGATCTAATTAGTTGGTGCAGCTCAATTCAAAGGGTCATTTTTTATGCAGATCAGAATTTTCTATTATTTTGTATACAGCTAATGTAAAATTTGGTACCGTATATTACCGAAAATAAGCACCCCCTCAGAGGAATTTTTATAGCCAAATTTCTCGTGATCTAGTAATCGAATCTGCGTAATTTCGGTACCATTCGAATCGTTTTGATAAGTTGATTCGAATGGTGCCGAAATTACGCAGATTCGATTACTAGATCACGAGAAATTTGGCTATAAAAATTCCTCCGAGGGGGTGCTTATTTTCGGTAATATACAGTAATATGTAATATCTTATTTTCAGAGAAACGAAGTGATTATTTGAATTAATTAGCCAATTATAATTTAAATAGGCTATTTACTGCTACATTTATGATCTTCGATAAAAAGGATAAAAATAAGGGATTCAAAAATCTGCAGATATGATAGAGTGTATCACTGGCTGTCAGCAAAAGCAAGTAATTTTAATGAAATTTAGAAATGCTATTTGTTACGTATACGGGATTGGTGAATTGATAATTTGCTTCAAAAGTAAGCCGTATACTAATTTTTTTTTATAATTTGAAAATTTTTATTTTAAATAATATTTTTTTCAATTTGTTCAATATTTCGGGAGTATAATTATCAATTATTAATCTATTTAAAGTTGATTCATAAAGGTTTTCTATATAATTTATTTAAAAAAATACTTTCGTCCTTATGTAAATTGATTAGTTTAAAAATAAAATAATAATAACCATACTAGTAATTGTTTTAATATCTTATGAGTCTTCAAAATTTGAAATTAGTAACTGTTTAATAAGTGTAAAATTGGACATCTTTATTGTATTGTAGCTTATTCATTTGTCATAGCGATAATGAAATTTTTATTAAGGATCGAAATGCATGCACAATGTAGATCATGGATCAGAAGTCACGTGAACGGAAAATCGATCCTAAGCCCTGGCGTTGTCTGCAAATGACGGTCATGCAAAATCGGATCTAATGGTCCAAATGACAGTTGTAATCCATATTGAGAGCCAAGTTTCAATTTTGCATTTTTTGAAGTTTGTTGATTTATAAGTTGAAATTCTTGGTCATTAATTTGATGGTATCGGCCGCAATAATAAATATCAAATGTAAGGTTTGTTAATTGATCTTTGGTTGCTTTGCATGATCGGCAGCCTCGATAT